ACACTGAGGGGCTCGAGCATAGACAATAGCAATTGCAGATATGTTGCCTACTTTTGAAGGAAAAGACGCACAAGAATTATTACATATATATATTTTCCCTTCTTTTGCGCCTCCACCACCATCAAATAAATTTCCTTTCCAAACTCAAAAGGAATAAAATCAGGCCGTCGGCCCGCACACATTAGACTGTAAGCGGGATTATTCCCTCTTCACGCCTGTCTGCGTGGTCGTAGCTACACCGGGCTCACCGGCTCTACAATGCGTAGATGTTGAAGCGTGCTCTGCAACTGTTAAACTTATTTTGTGTTGTGTTTACTTTACATACGGACTAGTCGTCAAAAAACTATAAAACCTAGTACCAAGGGTTATCAGAAGATCGGAGTTAAATCCAAATATCTTTATTTCTATTTTTCCAATATTGCCTTACGTGTCTAAATAAAAGTATCTCTTGTTCTTAGTTAGTTAAGAAAACAAATGAAGTAATTAAAAGTAAAAAATCTGTGTCACGTCATTAGGAAGCAATTTGGCGTCTCCCTTGAACGTGGGTCTGAAAGCAGCGATGTCAGTGCTCATAGGGGAAGCGTCGGGCGACATGACATGCGGTGTCTTCACCGGCATACACGCGATGTTCTCAAGAGGAGATCTCTATTCCATAGAAGGTATGTCCACTTACAAATGATGATCACATACTTTATTTTCATTACATTTTCAGGCTAAGTTATTCAAGTTATTCCTCCAGATAAAGAATAATTGAATTTGTGACTCGTATGAGATGATGTTTTTATGCCGTAAAATCTTGTAAAAACAACCTAAAAACAACCTAAATAATGTTAAGTTAACCGAGGCAACATAAACATTATGAATATCTAATTTAAATCATACAATCCAGTGTTATAAATTCAGCTATCAGTAGGTATCTAGTATAAAAGTGTCGTTCCTCGATAACCTATAGCCTATAGCACTAACGATTGTTTACTTTAGACACAAAAGTCGTGTTAAAACCAACATTGATTGTATTTTTAACTCTTATCATTAAATTGCACATGAATTGATAGCAAAGCGCAGATGTGTTACGTACTCGATGTCTATGCTAACTTTTTTCAAGTTTATTATCTAAAATGTTTCTAGGCGTCCCCTTGTCAAAGATCCCACATACTTGGGCGAGCGGGGAGCCAGATAACTACAAGGACCAGGAGAGTTGTATCGCAATGCTGGGCGATGGCAGCTTCGCCGACGTCGACTGCCGCGAGCCGCTGCCCTACATCTGCTACAAGTCGAACGCTAAAACGATGGTCGTGACCAGCTGCGGCACCACCGACAATGGTAACTTTTACTATTAAATAGAGGCACGTTTACTATCTCACACATGGCAACCATAACATTTGATTTATATTATTTTGTGACAAATTATGAGATAAAATAAAGTAACCAATGAGGCATACTTATAAAAGAAAGTGTTTAATACAAATGTTTTAGAATTTACGAGTTTTAGCATTCATTTTAGTTTGTCTACCGTTTGGATATTGGAATCCGGTATATTATAAATTCGAGCTTTAAATGTGTTTAGGGACAGGCCTATATCCGCGTTATATATTATCCTCTTTATAT